AGGTTTAGAAGAGAAATTGTACGATGACTGAAAAAAAATCTTAAATTGTATGAGAGGGATAAGAATGTGTTTTACTTTGTTTTGTTGTCTTTTTATTCCTAATTCTTTCTTTAATTCTCCTACTGCTACTCTGCCTGTTAATACCTTGAATTAGCATATAGCACGACAGGCCGCTGGAGCGTCCCAACACAGACAGACTATCTTTCAATATTTTTCACTGTATGCTGTGACTTTGTAGCTGTTCCCATTGTAACAGCTGCTCACCGTACTGCTTCTCCCTGATCCCAGCACACTATTACATAAATAGGAGAAGCAGAATTATAACATTCACACCAGCCAGCCTCTCCTGGTACTTTCCACTGTACCCTCAAGCCCTCCTCTCTCTGCAGCTTACCCATGACCATACCACACCTTACTGCCACATGGCATTTGTTCATTTTTGTATTTTGACATGGCTCGTACTGTCCTTATTGTGTAGTTTTGTGTAAACCATATAATAAAAAACGTCATAGTTCTTCCTCCAGACATTTCCAAGACTCCTTGTTTGCATCTGAAGTCCTTTGCATTGAAAGTTGAATCTTTGTCAGTAGAGTGATCTTTGCAGCTTGTAAACATCAAATATTCTTAGATGCATTTCATTAAGGATTTCTTAATGATATTTGAAACTCTTTAAACACAATTTGCATTATTTTGACATCCTTGAAGGAACTTAATTGCAGTTGTAGTTAAAAGCATCAAAACTGTTATTCAAGTAAAGTAGTTTTGATGCTTTTAAAGTCCAGTGCAGCACATTAGTTTGTTATGTCATGACTGAGCAGCACATGGCTTTTAGTTTTTGTTTCTGGTGCCCTCTATTTCACAGAGTTGCATACAGTTGTGTTTGTGGTTGATGCTTTGCACTTATGAAATTATTACAGATTTATTTACATTAAACACATTAAGGTAAAGTCTAAGTTAAATATGTAAAGTCTTTGGCTAAGGTTGTGATTAGGTTGAACCTAATCACACAAGATATAAAAAAGAATTTGAAAAAAATATGCACGAGCTGACAAAAATCCAAATTTTATCACGACAAGGTAAACTCCATTTTTAATTGGTGTAGCTGGGTACAAATCAAACAAAACAAACAAAGTGCAGAGGTCAAGAGAACAAATTGAAGGGTATGAAATATGAAAATATGAAAAATATGTCTTTATATGGTGTGTGAGAGGGATACAATTTATATTTTTTACAATTTTTTCTCAACTGCAGTTTTATTTTCCCTTCACCATTCTTACTTTCATTCTTC